TGATGTTGGGACTTTGGATGTTACCAAGATTCGGTCTCTCTGCATATACAAGGAAGTTTGCGGAGAGAAAGCTTTTTATTCATACTGTCAGAAATATTGCAGTGGAAAGTTTTTCAAAATTATTTATTAAGATTCAGAATTCCCCATCATGTACTTTCTTTCCCTCATTTAACCAGCATGCCTCCTCAATCTCTAGTGCGTCCTAGTTACACAGGAGGGCCTTACTGATCCTTTGTATTTAATGTCTGCTTATTGACATAATCTGTATGACTTACTGTACTGACCTACTAGAATGAACGAAGTGTGGACTTCCAGCCAGAGCCTGTGGTTGTACGAACATCTGGGAACCCCCTACGAGAGGCAAACATCATGCACTGAGGTGACTAATGCACAGCTCCCCTCACTTAAGACTCATGGAAGCACCACGGAATGGCTACTGGAGGAGAAACCTGGCCACAGGCAAGTCTCTGTCCTAATCCATCCTGGGGTGAGTGATGTGCACTGGGAAGAGAGGTTGCGCCATTGTATCAACGTGGCAACGCCTCCAGAACACACAAGTTTTGGGGAGCATCAGAGAAGTCACAATCGACAAAACAACAAAACCTATGCGTGTAATAAACAGGGACAAACCTTCAGAACGGAGAAACCGCGTCCCCCACACAGACAGGCTCACACTGGAGAGCAGCCCTCCAAGTGTGCCAGGGCCCTCGGCAAGAAAACAAGCCCCCGCGATCAAGAGAGAAACCACATTGAGGGAATATACACATGTATGAAATGCGGGGAAGCCTGAAAAAGAGCTGAGCTTCAACTAAATACAGAGAATTCACACTAAAAATTAGTGAGTGTTCAGAATCACTGAGCTAAATAAACTTCTGCCCTTGAAGAATTCACACAAGGGAAAAAACCTGAAAAATGTTCTCAATTGTGGCAGGAAAAAAGAAAACCCATCCTGTTTCCATAGAAAGCATATTATCTCACAAAAGTCACATTCTTGGTCTGGGTAACAGATTTTTGCAGAAATGATTCCAAACATGCGAACGATGGGAGGCGATAGCCTGCAGGCCACACAGTACAGAGCTCTGGAATAGCCACTTACCAAACTCAGATGTGAACTAGCCACTAGAGATCCATCAGTGAGTAGAGTGGACAAAAGTTTCTGTCCTTGTGCCATGTTCACTCCAGTGAAAGGCTAACAGACCTCCAGCCTGTAACAGCTTGACTCATGACCACCCACCTGCCCACATCACCTCAAGATTCCTGTAGTTTTGATCAAAATAAGATTGACAATAGTAATCATATTTACTACTGACTGAGAACTACATTTAACGGTAGCTCTTACTCTGCAGTCACCCCTGAAAATTACTTCCAGGAATTTCTCGAAGACCTCGAAGGCATTCTAAAGATCAATAGTCCAATAACCCTTACCTCACAGATTTGGTAATCAAAGGCCACAGATCTTATATTGAGTGTATTAGTGGCACAATGTATAAATGGCAAAGCTGAAACAAAAATGCAAGTCTCTGGCTCTTTGCTTTTAAGTTTTGCCACTGAAAAATATCTTTTGGAATAAATTCTAAAATAAGTAAAATTAATTCTGATTTTTGAGCACCCATTCAGAGATCTGTGATTATTAGACACTTTTTTTGGGGGGGGGGGGGAAGCAGCACCAAAATACATGGCAATTGGCCCGTAAAACTGGTTTAAAATAAAGGGAAAAAAAAAAGAGAGCGAGTAATTTAATTGAGTTAAGAGATGGAAGGACACATTAACAATGCTTGAGTGTCAACGATGGAACTACTATTTTTCTTCCTTCTTTGTAATCACTATAATTAGTTTCAGCATCCGTATTACTAAGTTTCCTCCCCATCACTAAGGGATGGCTCTTATTGTATGAAAGAGATGACTATCCACAGGAGCTTCCAAATTTGGCTATGCTGCTTGGGCCAGTGGGCAAGTGAAGTTTCCTTCTGAGGATTTCTGCAGCCACAGCTATGGGAAGAGCGGGGCAGCGCTGAGAAGGAGAGAGATCGTTGGGACGCAGGTGACTCACGGGGCTGTCCCAGGCCTAAAAACATGCAGACACTGAGGGATGCTCGTGTTTCCTGAGACAATGAGTGCCAACCTTGTAAAAAACAATGTAGTCTTTCAATAAACATCCTTCCCAGTTGATAGTGAAGGAGAAGGGGAAACAAGTTATTTAGGAGGTCAAATCAATGGGTAATATTGGCGAACAGGGGAAAGAGGATAAAGGGAGAAGGGGAAAGAATGACTTGGAGGCTCCTGATTGGTATCAAAAATAGGTAGAATGTGCAAGTCACTCAGGGAAGCTTAAAAAATAATACCAAAGCAAACATTTTTTTCTATGTAATTATATTCCTATTAAGGATTTTAAAAAATTACTCATGAACGTTCCTTTAATATTAAATTCTTTTCATTGGTAAACATGTTGTTCCATTCTTCTCTACCATGAAACAAAAAACTAAAAAAAGCCAAGTATCAAAGTCTGTTCTTTTGTCTTCCTTCAATCGGAGGTAATTTCAGGTGTGATAAAGGGTTGCAGAGAAACCTGGGTTAGCATTATGTTTGATTCAGTTCTGCTCTTAAAGACCTGATTTCATTTGGCCAGTATTCTTTCAATGACTAAGGACAGTCCCTATAGAATTAAAAATAATTTTTCACATTTCAGATAAGGCAGATAGTTTCCACAGTGAAATAAAAGGTCTGAATTTTTCTTTTTTCCCATGAGCAATTCTGCAGTAGACGGCAAAACAGACATTGTAAATAAGCGGCCTTACCGAGACAACAGCTGTACTTCTTATTGTTGCTTCTGTCATGGACACGTTTAGGTGGAACAAACAAGTCTATCTAAATTCTGTTTGACACAGGATACAGACAGGAATTCCACAGACTGACAGGACTCACAGGGTCCTACTTAGGGAACTGAATTCGCAATAGGAGACACATTTTGAATAAATTCCAGGGAACTTGGAAATTGCTTCTAGTATAGAAAACTGCCAATAAAATCACTAAACCGCACAGCTGGATTCAGATTTGAATCTTCAAAGTTCAAATTTAGTACGCTTTTTTTTTTAAATTTCAGAAAATATAAGTATCATCACCTGAAATAGAGTTATATATGGATATATATACATAATGAACTTTGATTTAAATAGTTTTGGTGTAACTTTAAAGATCTTATAGTTTCATAAACTGTGTGTATATATGTATATACATACACATACACAGTGTTGGGAAAAAGTAGATTTACAGTTGTGAGTACATGAAACAGAGTTTATTCTTGTATTTTATTATTATATTTACCATATGAATAACTGTAAATCTACTTTTGCCCAAACCTGTGTACACACACACACACACACACACACACACACGGCTTTTTAAGTTTTTTGTTTGTTTTATATATAGAGAGACTTGAATCTTGGGATAGTGGACAAAAACATGAAGATAAATTTACTAGATTCAGGGATAACCACTATCTTTTCATATTTTGTTAAATTTTAACAAAAAATTCCTTCGTTTAAAACAAATTCCTTCATACTTTAATGAAGCTAATATTCTAACTTCATAATGAGGTAGACACTATTTTATGCTAATAAATAAGACTAATTCATTAGACTGCCCGACATCATTCATGGCGTAAACAATCTTTTGCTGAATTTTTTAATAGCAAGAGTTTTGACATAACAACTACCTGTACAAACGTTTTGGAATATGAAGGTGTTCATGCTCTACAACTCAGTAACAAATGCACGTGAGTGCATGTATCAACATGAATGTTAGTCAACAATGTTGAACATAAGCATACTAACAAAAAACAATAGGATACTATTTACATAAAAAATGTAAAACCTGCAATAGCACATATTGTTAAGGAACATATGTACTTGTAGAAAAATATACTAGTTACACAGGAATGACAGAGATCCTTACTGGATAGCGGCTGCCTTGGTGGGAGGCGGGGAGAGGCGGGGTGAGTGGGGGAGAATGCAGAGCAGCTTCGACAGCACTGGTTAGGTGGGAGCACAGGGGTCCGTCTCATTCTTTAGGTCTTACAGTAATATTTCACAATAAACTAGAACACCTTTTGCTGCCAGATGACAAATCCTGTTTATGTCGCAAGACATAAAGCAATCTCTCTGATTACGTGAGTAATGGTTTTCAAGGGGGCAAACCACCCAGCCCTAACATGACCTCGCACCCGCTGCCTGCGCCCGCGGTGAACTCACTGTAGCTCCCTGGCCTTAGCCCTGCGTTTCACAGCTCACGCCCGCAATCTGCTCCTATGGGCAAGCCCCAAAAGTGGCTTAATGGCTAGAGAAAGATGCCACCTCCTTTTTAAAAAAAAAACAAAAGTTCCTTCCTTGATTCTTTTTCTTCTCTCCAAACTGTCAAAACAAAATCATATTATAAAGTCCTAAAATAAAGTACAAGGAAAAAGACAACTGGACGAAGTTGTGAAACCCAGTGTCTTATTTCCAATCTCCCATTTAAAAAGCCTCAAAGCCTTGGGTAAATCATTCAACCTTTTGCAGTCTATTTCCCTCTTCACCCAAGTGAGGAAGGCAAATCAACCAAAATGCTTCATACAGGCCTGCCTATGACTCAGTGCTATATAGCTATGCATGCCACATGAGTTTCTGAGGCCTGAATAATATACAGACAAGTCAGCCCTGACCTGGTAGCACAACTGGTTAGGGCGTTGGTACTACATGCCAAAGTTGTGGGTTTGATCCCCAGTCAGAGCACATATAAGAATCAACCAGTGAATGCGTAAATAACTGCAACAACAAATCGATGTTTCTCACTCCCTCTCTAAAATCAATATATATATACACTTAGGTACACAAACAAGTCACATTAAGAGCTTTAAATACTTAAAATTTAGTAAGTGTAATTTGACAGTTCTAAAACTTCTCAATTTGGGATACTGTAATTGCCTACTTTGTATATTTAAAAGAAAAGTTCCTAAAACTACTCACGTCTGGTTGAATGGCTTTAAATACTGGGACATCCATTAGCGTTATCTGACCCTGAAATTACAAAAAAAAAAAAAGAGAGAGAGAGAGACAATTTCTTCTTTGGAATCCCATAATATGACATGTATTCTAAATCAAAATGATATTCCATACTAAAATATATTGAATAATCAAATCTTTACTAGAAAAATCTTAATTTGTAAGGGCTTAAGAAAATGAAAATTTAGTCCTTATACCATTAAATATAAGTACTTTTTTAAAATTGAATTTATTGGGGTGACACTGGTCAATAAAATTATATAGGTTTTGGGTACACAATTCTGTAATACATCATCTGTATATTGTATTGTGTGTTCACCACCCTACGTCTCCTTCCATCACCATTTATTCCCCCCTTTACACTCTTACCCCCCCAAATACAAGCATTTCTAATTATCTCACACCTATTCATATTTGCTTATGAGATACATGGGGTAAAGTTAAAAAACAAAAATAATTTTGAAAACCTGAGAATGGTTATCCATTAAATCATATTAAAACCAAAAATCAGATCTATTGGTTCATGAAGCAGGGTCAGGGATCGATGATTTAATGGCTAAATCCAACAGTCTATCAATGTATGCAGTGACCAAACACAGTCTGTTTCTGGACTGTAAAAGTAGTTCAACATGCCCTGACTGGTGTGGCTCAGTGGGTTGGGAGTCGTCCCACAAACAGAAAGGTTGCTAGTTCAATTCCCAGTCAGGGCACATGCATGGGTTGCCAGCCTAGTCCCCTACTGGGGGTGTGCGAGAAGCAACCCATTGATGTTTCTCTTGTATATGGATGTTTCCCTCTCTCTCTTTCTCCCTCCCTTCCCTCTAAAAATAAATAAGATCTTAAAGAAAAAGTGGTTCAATATCAGGAATTCAATATATTCTGTTAGGAAATTAAAAAAGGAAACAAGAACATAAACATTTATGTCAATTAAGAAAAAAATCGTTTTTCTGGATAACTTTCATGATATTACAATAATGCCTTCAACTTCCGCTTTTCGATTTTTTAATTTACAAAAAAGTAAAAATACTTCTAACATGTCAATAAAGTATAGGTGGCTTGAGGAGGTGGTAAAGGTAGAGATTATGAAAGCAATTACCGTGAAGGTAAATCCTTACTACGTACCAAGCTCAAAGTGAAAATTATGAAGCTGCTCTAAAAATACCTACAGCTCTTCTACCTTCCCTCTTTCATCATTCTGCTTGCTCCGTCACTGCGCTACTCTCCCTATTAATTCCCACACCCAGCCTGCTTGCTTGCTTTATTTATTTTTACCATCTCCTCTGCTGATCCTACAAATTCTAACTTGATAGCACCAACATGTAAATTATGTGCAAAAAAACAGAGAGAGGATAGGGGGAGACTTACCGCATATTCTTCTGGTGTAACCTTAAGGACATCAAATACCACGGCATCAAAGCTTTTCTTCAGTTCAGAACCCTTGTCACTTAAGGATTCAGAACTGCTACTTTTCTGTTAAATTAAAAGAAAATGCAGCCATTTTAATACTGTCTCAAGTCGATGTCACAGAAACTAGACTGACATTAAAAACTATGGACACTGAGTACAGCGGCTTAACAGACGCTGCAGGAAAGTTGGGCAGAACGTGCTGCTTATCTGGAAAAGCATTAGATAACGGGCCAGGCAACCTGAAGCCTAACCTCAACCTCAGATTTTTAGATTCTTTCTTGTCTGTCAGTTTCCTCATCCTGACTATTCTATCATTTCCTATAGAAATAAAAGATTTTAACAAGTTCAATGATTTTTAAAGGGGGTAAAGCGAATTTAGGAGAGAAGAATACACCTACTTCTAATTTTTTAACTAATTTTTACTAAGGAAGAGACAAATTATTTTTATAACATACACCACAAAACAACATTCAGAACTCCATTAATTAAATAATCCAGTCTTATTTGTGAAGTGAATGTCTGTCTGTGGTAGGACAATTGATACTGTTTGTTCTTCCTATCATATTACAAATTTAAGTTTTCTGCTTTAAGCTTACTGTGTTAAGTCTGAATTTGCTATTGCTTCATATAGACCAAAAATGGTGACTTTGGCTCTGAAAATCTTATTTCTGTTCAATTTCCACTTCTTTGTACCATGAGATAAAAACGTCTTCTGCATCATCTGGCTGGAATCAGGGCATTACCACTGAACAATATTTAGATCACGCTCTAGTCAACGGTGGCAGGAAATCAGGCTCCAGTCAATGACACACACACAAAAATCAACCAAAGTTTCAATTACCAAAGTATATGTCAACCTACCAGCTGTTTTTATACCTCATTTTTGAGCGCTTGTCATTACGCCTTATTTTTACTTTTTCCCTCCCTTTCAGGAGCAGCTAATTATCAAAATTGTTACACAGGAAGGGACCTGTCATTAATTTTGGCAAGTTCTCAACCATTATTACTTCAAATATTTCTCCCGGTGGTCCTGTTTCGCATGTTATACCTTCTGCCACTGTCCCAGAGTTCTCGGATATTCTGTTCCATTTTTTTCATTCCATTTTCTCTCTGCATTTTAGTTTGGGAAACTCCCACACACACACCTTCAGGCTGATTCTTTCCTCGAGGCTCCACTGGTGAGCCAGTCACTCACTCATTGTTTCTCTCACAGTGGTTTTGGTCCTAGCATTCCCTTTTGATTCTTAGATAAGCAACATCCCCGCTTGTATCAGCCATCGCTCCTTGCACCCTGTCCGTTTTTTCCATTAGAGCCCTCGGCATTATTAATCATGGTGAATGCCCAGTCTGGTAATTCCAAAGCCCCTGCCACATGAGTCTGGTTCTGGTGCTCGATCTGTCTCTTCAGACTGTTTTTTCTTACCTTTTAGCATGCACTACAGTTTGCTGAAAGCCAGACATGATGTATTGAGTAACAGGAAGGTAAAAAGGCTCACCATGTAAGGGTTTATTTTTATCTAAGTAGGAGTAATGCTCTGTTTACTCTTTGTTCTTGCTAGAGGTGTTCGAGTGTTCCATTTCCTCTAGCGTCCTTGTTTTTCTCCCTCCCATTGTCTCTGGGTTCCTCTAGACACTGCTCCTTAGCTGGAGCCTGTGCCCAGCAGCTCTTTCAGCCGCAGTCCTTGACTACACAGTGCCCTGCGGACGCGCTGTTTCCGTGTGGGGTTTCCGTGTGGGGTTTCCGTGTGGGGCGAGAAGCCTTCTTCAGCCCAACAGGCTCTCTTCAGTGAGCCTGTGCCCTGGTGCTATGACCTTCTCAGGTGCTTCTCAGTGCTGCCTACTCCCCTTAGACAGTGAGACAGGGAGGCTGGAGGGGGCAAGAGGAGGGTGTTTCTCTTGCCCCAAGTAGGCTAGGCTCTGGCAGCTTCCTTTGAGGTCAGAGAGAACAGAATGCTGGGTGTACTTCAAAACCATGATGCCCCCTGGGCACATTTCAAGATGGCCGCCATCTCCTCCCCTTGCTGGAAGCAGGAGGGGATTTTTCTGATCTCCACTGTGAGAACCTGGGGGAGGGGGGTGTCCCAGAGGTAAAACTCACAAAAGTGGGGGTGGGAGCCCAAGACTGGGCCGCCCAGGGGTTTGTAACAGTCCACACACTACCTCCAGCAGTTAGCCGGTCAGCTATGAACTAAGTTTTCCTGTCCCTTCCGGGCTCCAGTGACTTCTGTGCTTGGTAGACTGTGATTCTCTGCGTTGGCGCGCCTCTCTCTAGTTTTTCAGGCATTGCCGTCAGTTTGCTCTGTGACATCAGTTCTCTGATAGGGCTAAAAAGAGTTATCGCTTTTCAGTTTGTTTGGTTTTTTTCATGTTGCGAGGACGGGTGATGAATTCCAAGCTCTTTACACATCCGAGAAGAAATCCGAAGTCCCGTAAATGGATTTTATGCCTACTGTTTTAGTTCATATGTTTAATCTCTGTAACTATGACAAGCTTACTGTATGTCAACAAGATTATTTTATGTCCTAAGACTAATACAGAACTTTATTCATAATGTTAAGTTTAGCAATATACGCTAATCTAGTAACCACCCAAATAATTAATTACGTTCTGTCAAGGAATAACCTGATAATTAAACATAAATTGGTCATTTTCTCCAAGTTTTTCATTCATTCAGGCAAGTTAGCAAATCATAATGGTAATTTGCTCACAAAAATGAGTAACCACTCTCCTTTTGTTCTGACAATTACAAGTGATGTGCTTCTCCCTGCTTCTCCAATACCAGTAAATATGGTGGTAATGATAAAAAACTAAGTAGTACTTAAGCATAAGGTCCACTAAGAGAATAGTTAGTGATTCTTTATTCAACACAAGGCTACACATTTCTAAGTCTGAAAAAAGTTCACCGCAACTCTACTGGTGTCAGAAGCTCCGAGCACAGGCCACAAAGGCCCCAAGGCAGGAGAAGTCATTCACCCGGAGAAAACCTCTCCCCATCCCAGAGGAAAACCCACTCACTTTAAGGAAAGTCAACAAAATTGTTTAAATAAGTGAAATGATCTATTTTATTTAACAAATTATTGTGTAGAGCTAGCTTCCTGTAATATTAGACAAATGTTTCAGGATATATAGTTAAAAATAAACTACACATAGAAATATTTTAATGTATTCAAGTAATATGGTTATAAATACACCAAATAAACACAGGCAGGTCTAACAGAAGTAGGAAAAGCTAAGGTTTATATAAACCTCAGCAAGATCTAGTTGTCTTTCATGAGGCTGTAAATTTCAAGCAGAGGAATAGCAGCAGTTAAATCCGTTAGAAGAAAAATTTAGGATGACTTTGAGAAAAGTCTTGAATGCAAGGCTGAGGGTTATTTGTATTTAATTAGTAGGCAATGAGGAACCATGAACAGTTTGGGGATACAATAAAGTTTTGCAGTATTTTAAGAAGACTAAAATTGAACTGCAATCAAATAGACCAAACAACTGAAAACAGAGGTGCAAGATCAAACTAAAAGGCTGTTGCAATAATCTAGACAAGAAATAATAAATGACCAAATGAAGCGAGTACTAGTAGAAATAGGGAGGAGAGGACTAGATCCTAGAGATATGGTGGGGGCGGGGGCTGGGGGGGACGACACACAGGCTCTAGGGTGGCTGCCATGGGTCTGTCCCTTTGCAGTCACGCCCCTATGGAATCCTCCCGACTTGAGTCTGGGTAGGACCGGTGACGGAAGCAGCAGAGGAGCTGGGATGGCACCCCTAGGGTTCCGTCACCGACGACAGTTACTTTCTGCCTTGCAGGCGGCCTCTCCCAGGCTGCGGCGGGCTACAGGGAGGCGCTCAGTGAGAAAGCTACAGAGGTAAACTTCGCCGGCTGGGGGTGGTGCCGCTATTAACAGAGGCCACAGGGAGGGGCTGGGCTCTTCTCCTTCCCTGTGTGCAGCAGTAACCTGATTTTGTTCACATTGTAAGCACAATGTCTGGCCCATCAGAACACTTCATAACATTTATGAGGGAAGCCGGAGCTAGTGCTAACAATATGGAAATCATGTGCATAAGAAAAATAATTGAAGCCACAGACTTAGATTAATTTAAATGATAGCAAGGCCCAAGTAACCAGCTGGAGCAACATGGAGTTGAAGTTATTAAGGAAACTTGAGCCCAAAGGGTTAAAGGGGTCATTATTCTCAAGTTATATAATAAGAGAAAAATAAAGGAAACACACAGAAGCTGGATGCTAAAAGTTATTAAGGGAAGCAGGCAAGTACCCTAGATTTATAGACAAAACAGAAAAACAGGTGAGGTTAAAATAAAATCAAGAGACATTAAGTAGAGAGGAAAGACTCGCGTTCCGCCTTCCTCGCCGTCTTGGACACCCTAAGCTGTGTCACCGGAGCGGCCCCCCAACCTGATGTTCTTCTCTTTCGGCGGGTTTGGAATCATGAGAGCTAGACAGCATCCAAAATTATATAATTCTAAATAAAAGAATCTTTTTGCTTCACTTTTACAATTGCCCTCAAGGTTCATGTAATATAAAAACATGCATAAAAGAAATTCTAAGTATCCTTTAAAACTAAAACCAAGAAAGGATTTTAAGTAATCATTATCTGTCAAGCTTCTCAAGTGGATAAGGATTAGCTGTTTCTAAGATGCTCAGCAAACATCTGAATGGTACAATTAAAACACTTTTTTAAACTAAAAAATCTAGTCCTTTTTTAAGTTCTGACTTAAACCTGTGACCAACCATTTTGTGCTTGGAAAGCCAGAACTCCAGATAAGAACCCCGCCCATGTCTCACCTCGGAGGCGGCTGCGGCGACGCTGACGCCGCCGGCCTGCCCGTTCGTCAGGTCCATGCTTCCCGCAGCATCAGCCCCCGGCGCCAGGCTTCCGGCTCGCAACACGGACGGCCTGCTTCACGTCCAAGGCCGCAAGTACATCGTTAGTCCTGTAAAGAACAAACGGAGCATTTTAAACATGTCTCATTATTACAGGACGTTTCAGGAAACAAATCCACGCCTATCACCATGCCAAGAAATACAGTTTTTCAACTACACTGAATTCTTTTAATAAAATTTTAGAGATCTAAATGACATCTCTAAATTAACAATACTGAGTAAGTTTACCGTTGCTGATAATCGAGTTTACAAAGACATTACAAATAATTAAAAATAAAATATTATGGAATGTGTAATAAAAATATCACAATATATATTTATTTGTGTAGGATTTTAAAGTTTATTGAGTATCTTCAGTGCAGTAGCTCACTATCTTCGCAACTACCAATAGGGCTAATTAAGGAAGATGTTACACAACAAAGAAACAGAGCCTCTGGGGACACAGGCTGGTGAGGGGCCGAGAAAAAAATATCAAGGCCTCTAAAATTCTGCTCCCACAGTCTTTCCACAACACTGTGTTTCTTTCCATCTTAGTGGAAGTCAGAACATTTACCTGAGGTTCTAATCTCTTTCCTCACCAGACAGAATCTTCCTCTTTGTAAAACGACAGAAGTAAATGGACGTTAAGGCCCCTTTCCAACTTTAAATTTCTATGATGTTTTTCTTTTTTAAATTTTATTATGTCTTGTTTCAGGTGTACAGTGGACTGGTTAAACACATATTTTCCAGGGCGGTACACCTGGTATTTCCAGTACCTACCTGGTCCCATACATAGTTATTACAGTATTATTGGCCATATTCTCTGTGCTTTACTTTACATCCCCATGACTGTCTTATAACTGCCTATTTGTCCTTCTTAATCCCTTTACCTTTTTCATCCAGTCCCCAACTCAGTTCCCCTCTAACAACCTTCAGTCTGTCCGTCCCCTGTATGAGTGTTTCACTTTTGTTTGTTCATTTATTTTGTCCTTTAGATTTCACATATATAAGTGAAATCGTATGTCATTTGTCTTTCTCTGAATGACTTATTTCACCTAGCATAATACCCTCTAGGCCCACGCGTGTTGTCACAAATGGTAAGAGTTTGTTCTTTTTTTACAGCTGAGTAATATTCCATTGATATATATGCACCACAGCTTTTTTTTCTTTTAGCCATTTGTCTATCGATGGGCACTTGGGTTGCTTCCATATCTTGGCTATCGTAAATGCTGTAATGAAAACAGGAGTGCATGTGTTCTTCTGAATTAGTGTTTCAGTTTTCTTCAGATATATTCCCAGAGGTGGAACTGCTGGGTAATTATGCAGTTCCATTTTCAATTTTTTGAGGTAACTCCATAAAGGTAGCTGCTTTCCACAGCGGCTGCACCAATTTGCATTCCCACTTACTGTGCACAAAGTTTCTCTTTTGCCCACAACCTCGCCTGCATTTGCTTGTTGATTTACTGATGAGAGCCATTCGGACAGGTGTAAGGTGGTATGACATTGCGGTTTTAATTTGCATTTCTGATGATTAGTGACACTGAGCATCTTTTCACATGTCTATTGGCCAGCTGTATGTCCTCCTTAAACAAGTGTCTATTCAGGTCCTCTGCCCATTTTTTAATTGGATTGTTTGGTTTTTTGGTGTTGGGTTTGGTGTATGATTTCCTTATAAATTTTGGATATTAACCCCTTATCAGATGATTCATTGACAATATATTCTCCCATTCAGTTCTATGTTTTTTGTAAGAGAAATGCTAAGTGCTTATAAATAAGATGTTTTAAACTATACGAGCTTTAAAAACTTAATTTTAAATGTCAGTAATAATTCTCTTGATGCCAAGTTTCCTCTCTCTGGAGAGCATTACATGGCAGCGCTTTGGAAGCACAGACGAGAACAAGCCGGCCTACCATGACCCAGCGCCCGTGGGGCTCTGCGCTCACACTCCTCACCTACAAAACAGAGTTGACAGTAAGGACCTCCTGTCCTTACTTCAGAGGGCTGTGGTGCGAAAAAATGACTTAAAAGGTGCAAAGCACCTAAAACTGTGCTGACACCCGGTAAGTGTGTCATTATGGTGATGCACATTTCACCTACGATCTACTTAATCCACACGAAGCTTAAAATCAATGTAGTCTTCTAATTAAAGAAGTCAAAAACCTTAGAAATACACCTCTGGCAAAACTCATGTTGGTGGGGCATCACCAAAATCCTAACCACAAACATCTGGATGAGGCTGCCTCAGCTGCTTCCTAGATGCAGCGGAACATGCTTGTGGTTTTCAAATGCTTGTAAGTATTCCTAAGGACAGCAGCCTTCAGGCACATCTTGAATTTATCTTTATTTCTTTAGATCGATCCTCAGTACCAGCTAAGAGCAAAACATTGTGCTAGAATTTTAAAAATAAAACTGTATTAGAAATGATGGTTTTTAAAACCATTTAAACTTCATTTAGAAAAATCAATGTGAAAACGACTAGACATAGGAAAGCTTTTTTTTTTTTTTTTTTTAAGATTTTATTTATTTATTTTTACAGAGAGGGTAAGGGAGGGAAACATTGATCAGTTGCCTCTCTCACACACCCAACTGAGGGACCTGGTCTGAAACTCAGGCATGTGAATCAAACTGGGAATCAAACGGGCACCCTTTCGGTTTGTAGGCCAGCGCTCAATCCACTCAGCCTCACCAGCCAGGGCCGCAGGAACACCTTAACTTCCTGCAATCCACAGTATTTCATTTTATAAGCTTCACTATCTTAACAATATTGTTAAGCTCAATTTATATTTATACTGCGATACAAAATGAGCTTGAAAAATCCAAACTCTCTCTGAAAGCAACACTCAGTTTACCATGAAATGTTTTTAAATAATTTCATTTCATTCCACTTCCTCTGCATATATGGATATAAATTCCTATATCAAGAGTGCCCTCTAGTGTTAAGAAAAAATTTTAGTTAAATTGTTGAAATGTATCCCTCATCTACCTTCTATACCAAATACATAAATTTTATTACTATTATTCACTGACAAAGAGGTAAACAGACCAGGATTAAACATTAATACATTTTTAAACTACAGCAGTAAAGACTTAAGCTTCCTCAGCCTGCTTTTAATTAAAATGTCATTCATATTAGTCCATGCAAATTAAGGTCATATTAAAATCAATTATATTTTTAGTAAAAAAGAAAAATAAAACAAAGGTATAGCAAATTATAACTTAAAAAGATCCTATTCATAACCACTGGGTTGGCCAAAAAGTCTGCTTTGTCTTTTCCATAAAATAAAAGACATTTTTCATTTTCACCAATAACTTTATTGATGTGGATATTTTGAGTATGTCGGCTATTTCCTGTGTGGTGTAACATTGATTGTTCTCAATATCTCAATCTGACTGCTATCAACTTCAAGTGGTCTACCCAACCGTGGGGCATCATCTAGCAAGAAAGCTCCAGCACGAAACTTTGCAAACCACTTTTAACACACTCCATCAGTCACAGCACCTTCTCCTTACACTGCACAAATCTTTTTTTTTGCATTTCAGCTGCATTTTTACCTTTCTTGAAATAATAAATAATAATATGCCGACAATGTTGCGTATTTTCTTCCATCTTCAGTATTAAAATTGCTACACAAAAATTCGCCATTTTGATATAATTTTTTTAATGCACACATCATAGCTGTTGCAATACAATCTAACAAAATTGTTTTGAATGAAGTTAAACTAGACCTCAGAGCCATCTTATGGAAAAAACCAAATAAACTTTTTGGCCACCCCAATATTTACAAACGTACTACATGTCAACAATATTTAATACTGTTTAAGGACAATAAAGCCTCATATGATGCTATAAAAACACTGTAAGTCCTAAAAGACAGTGTATTTTTTAGTTTATGCCTCAAGACCTTTCTGTGCTTTGCACACAGAAAAGTGCAAAGTAAACAATAAAAATATATGCTTTAATATTACTTTTCCTAGCGCTACGAATGGCACAATCATTCATGACTACCAACACTGCTACAGCTCTTAATTAAATTCATTATTTCTTTCTTACTCTGTTCTGAAACTTCTAAAGACTGACTTTTGAATTTAAATCCCAAAAATAGGCATGCATATTATTTCTTTCCAAGCAATATAATTTCTAACTAGGACATCAGAAATGTGTAGATATAGTTCCTTGCTCAAGGTCTCAGAACTATATTATTAAGTTGCAGGCACATTTAGCCTCCTTACTCCTCAGCTTCCCAATGAATGCATTCCCACCAAGAAACCTGTGCTTTTTAAATACATGAACAAGGGGGTCAAAGGTAAAGTGACAATTTCTCACTAATTAATCTGATCTCATTTCATAATACCAGTTACATACTCTTTTATAAAATAATTTATGCTACCATCATTAGAAATACTATGCTAGACATAACAGTTTTGCAAAACACTCCAGAAGAGTTATACAACAATAAGGAAAATGCAGTGAAATGCAATTAGTACAATTTCTTTGGAAACATTAAGACTATACAGAATCGATATGACTCATATACTTTGACTTATAGTCCTGGAAATTCATCTTATCAGAGCTGGAGAAAAAGAAAAAACTATACAGATAAAGCTATTCAATTAAAAGCTGTTTACAACAGTGTGAACAAGAAGCAAATTTAATACCTTTGTACAGAATCACATTAAAAAATTTCAAGTGTACAATTATAAAAATACACAATTCAAGTGGACAATTACAAAAAATAGAAGTGACAGGTTCAACAGAAACTAAAACTTCTTGTTATTGTAAGTTTTGTGGGAAAAAATAGGGTAAGATGAAAACATAGTAATTCAATTCAATATGTATATAAAAGTTATTACAGAGCTTGCTTTCCTTTAAAATGAATTTTTATTTTTTAAACCATTTTATTTATTACTAGGCAAAGGGGAAGGGAGGAAGTAGGAGAGGGAGAGAAACATCAATGTGTGGTTGCCTCTCGCATGCCCTGGAGGCCTGACCCAAAACCCAGGTATGTGCCCTAGACTGAAAATCAAATCAGTGAAGCCTGGTTC